ACAAAAGGAACTTTAAACGAGAAACCTATAAATGAACTTCTTTTGAAAGCAGATGTTGACAACAAAGCTGACAAAGAATATGTAGACGATGCAATAGCAAAAGAAGAAGAAAGAGCTAACAATGCTTATGCAACAAAAGAACATACTCATCCTGAACTAGCAGACAAAACATATGTTGACAATAAAATGTCAAGTGAAGTGACAAGAGCTGAAAACGAATATTCTAAAAAGACTCATACACATTCTATATCTGAAATAACAGACTTACAAGAAACCTTAAACAGTAAAAGTGCCGTTGGACATACACATACCATTGCAAATATTACAAACTTACAAGAAACCTTAAACAGGAAAAGTGCCGTTGGACATACACATTCTATATCTGAAATAACAGACTTAAACGTTAGCCTTGAAAAGAAAGCAGATAAGAACCATACACATACAAGTTTTACAACTGTTGCTATAGAAAGTATTGAAGGAACGGTTGACGTAACTGGTGGGGATGTATTATATTGTAAACCTCCTAACTTTCCACAAGGTTTAACATCGGATGACGACATAACGACGATGAGAAACATTAGATGTAAAGATGTTTATGTCATGAAGGATGAATATAATATTAAATTCACTGCTCAAGATTTATATGACAAGAAAGCAGACAAAAAGAGCTTCAAACATTAAAGACAGAAATACTTCAAACATTATATCCTATAGGCTCTATTTATACGTCAATGAACTCAACAAATCCAGAAACAGTTCTGGGTTTTGGAACTTGGACTCAAATAGTCGACAGGTTTTTGTATTGTGCAAACTCTTCAAAGGAAACAGGTGGAAGTAAAACGATTTCAGGTGAAAATTTACCTGCACATAGTCACTACATAGATTTAAGTACATCTCAAGCAGGTTGGCATAAGCATAAATTTTGGGATTGGTCGGCAATGACAAAAGGTAAAGGATATGATGTTAAAGACAACGTTCAGTTTGCTATAAATTGTTTCTGGGTAACACTCAGGGAGATGGAAACCATACACATCGCGTTTCAGGATATACGCAAACAACGGGACAAAGTAAAGAATACATGCCACCTTACATGACAGTTTACGCATGGTATAGAAATGCTTAGTCGTCATTTTCAACTTCTTTAGCATATTCGTCAGGAGTTGTCTTATATTTGTTAGGAACTGTCTTTGAAAGTATACCACCTTGAACTTTGACAAGTTTGAAACGAGGTCTGACAATAGTCGTTTTATCTTCTGCTTGCAGTCTGTACATTTTGCCATGTTTGCCTAAAACTTCATAATATTCTCTTGTATACTTTCTTCTATTTTTACGAACACGAATGTGAGTACCTGTCGGGTTCCCATTGTTGTCATAGTCAATAGTATTTTCATATGGGTCGCGTTTAGGTATTTCTATTTTACTTTGTCACCTTTCTGAAGTTTGAAGCCCGGCATTCTTTCTTGTTTGTCTCTTTTGACTAATTATTAAATATATAGTCTTTCTCTAAGTCAGGGTTTTTTCATTTCTTCGGGGGAGTGGTTTCCCAAACCTTTTTGTTTACGGCTATTGTAAATATTTAAAACTTGTCTCATCTTTGCCATGGAGAAGTGTCTATATTTGTCGTCATATGACATTTCATTTGCTTCACCACCTTGTGGTTGGTTTAAGTCTCTTAACATTTTTATACAACCGTCAATGACACCAAGAGCAGAATGGTTTTGGTCGACAATGAAATAGGTTTACATTTTTTGAACGCAGATAGTTTTTTACATCATCTGATTTGAAAGAACTTTCACAGTCAGATGTCAGTTTTGTTGGATGGTATTTGTCAACGAATATTGTCAAAGCAGTTTTCACATCTAAAATATTTTTGGACCATAATGGTATGGCTTCACAGTATCTTGTGTTTTGACCAACAAATATTAACCAGTATGGTGGTCCATCTGTTCTAACTCTCGGAATGTTTTCCAAGATATCCATAAACCAAGCATTTGGTGTTGAACTAAGATTTTTACCATGAGTGCTTTCTTTGTCGCTTTAGAAACATAGGGGTCCTTGTTTGGATTCGTCATTTTTTATCCTATAAGAAATGGGTTTATTTTGGCGCATTAGCAGGAGTTGCATCCAGATTTTTGCCCGCAGTGGGAACAATAGCCAGAGGTGTATTTGGAGTTGGAAGGAAGATTTTGAGTACATTAGGTATACTTAAAGAGAAAGCACAACCTATTATACAAACTGTACAGAAAGGTTGGGATGTAGCACGAGATGCAACAAATCTTATTCCAAATCCTGAAACAAGAGGAAAAGTTCAAGGATGGATGGACAATGTAGGAAGACAAGCAGGAAACTATTATAACAAAGCAAATGACTACTATAACCAAGCAGGACACTATATGGACCAAGGTGAAAGATTCTTTAACAGAGGATATAACCATGCACAACAATGGGTAAACAATAACCAACCTCAACCGCCTCAAACGTGGGGAATGTAAAGTTTTTTACTGAGATGAAATGAACAATACAGCATTGAGACAAATGGGTTCAAGATGGATTTGTCGGCTTCCAGCAGTTACACAACGTGTTTGTCAAGTTCTTCCTATACCTCAGGAAGTTTTAGACCGACTTAAAAAACAACAACAACCAGTTGAAAACAAACCAAACTAAAATTTTTTACTGAGATGAAATGACCGAAGAAGTTGAAACGGTAGATTTGACACCACAAACAAAAAGTTCAGAACCATTGTCAAAACCTGTCAAAGAACTTACAGATGAAGAGAAAATTCAATAATAGAAAGTGCCAGGTCTGGAAATACAACCCTAACTACAAAGTCACTTTTCATAAAAATGGAACGGCAAGTATCTCAAAAAAGAAACAGACTCTCACAAATAAAATATTGAAGTCTGAAGGAGCTTTCGAGACAACAGATGGAAAAGTTTACTTCACTGACCAACAGTTCATTATAGAACATCTCATTGACTTAGAGTCGAAATATTCTAAACTTTACAACAAACACAAAAAGTTGAAAGGAAAACAAAAACAAATGGCATATGATATTTATGAAGATGTTGACGACACAACTGTTCCTGCAAGTGAAGTAAAGTCAGAGAACCGAAAAGTGACGAAAAACCGATAGAAGAAGAAAACAAAAACTGAAGATAAACCAAAACCAAAGTTTAGTTGGAAACTAAACCAGTCAACCTTCATTAGCTGGTATGGGTTGGCGTCAAAGACTTATGGCAGCAGGCGGTTATGTTAAGTAAAGAAAAAAATATTTTTTTTCTTTTTAAAATGCCCCCATATAGAATGGATAGAAATCTGCTAGAATAAAAGCAGAGTCTGCTAGAATAAAGCAGAGTTGGAAACTTGTTGTTAGATGAGAAATATGAAATGGCATACAATTTTAAAACAATATATTTTTACATATATTAAATGCTTCAGGCTGAAAAAAAAGAACAAAAGTAGCAGATAAAACCGTTAGACTATATCTTTACAAATGCTGGTAGGACTATTTCAATGAAAATTTCATCCCGAGTATACAGGTTTGACTATCCAATTCGTTGGCTTCAAAGTCCTTCAGATGCAAAGCAATAGGATTTAGAAGAGTTTTGTTTTCAAATAGAACTAACGCATTTATGTTCGCAGTATATTTTCATGGGCAGTATAAAGGTTCTGATGGTCTAATAGACAAATTTGACGAAATGAGAATCTTTACAGTTCGTTCAGACGAAAGTCTTGAGAAAACTCTAAATGACTTTCAAACTCAAATGAACAAATATTATTGGAATTTCAGAAAAATACGACTCTTTACTAAATGGAACATACTATCTGAAACTAGAATATGACAAGATGAACTCCACCGTTTCATTTCAAAAGATTGAAATTAACCCTCCAAGAGATACAGAGTTTTTATTTTGGAAAGTAGACAACGTTCTTGGCACAATTTCTTCGTTACTAAACCAGAACGAACCATTACCACCAGATGGTCCATTTCAATTTATACTTCCACCAGCAGATTTGACAGTTTATAGAAACGTGTTTTGACCCTCAAAATGTTATGTGTCATGCAAGTTTCAGTTCAAGCAACAATAGTTTTCTATGTATGGTAAGGACTTTATGACTTTGCTTCTAAATTCTACGAACCACCTAGTAACAGTTTCTCTGACTTTCAAGTTTGGTTCACAACAAATGGTGTGCAACATATTATTCCATTGTACTATGACTTTTATCTCGAATTGTCTTTCATATATAACTACGGAAAAGTGCTGAAAAAGTATTGAAAAATAATGTTTATGTTAGCATGTTAGATCTAACATTTTTTCTAACATCGTAGAAAACTCATGAAAACAATTTATTTTTGACACTTTCACAAAAAACATAAAAAAGTGAAGTTAAACGTTAAGGTTTACTGAACTGGTTGGATGTCGCCTTCACAGGTTATGTAGAATGGTTGACCCGAGAAGTGGAACAGTGCTCTGAGAATTTGTATAATTCGTGGAATTGGACTCTCTCTGTTTGGAAGTAGTATCCAAGGACGCTTGGCAAAGAACTTTATAATGGCTTCCTTCTTTGCTTGCTTTATGTCGTCGAAAGGAGTGTTTTCTGGTATTTGAATTGGAATTTCAGTCGAAGTCTCGAGATTCAAGGCAGCCCTTCCAGAAATAGTGGTGAACTTGACCTTGGGGCTTCATGACCTTGCGCAAGTAGTCTTTTACGCAGTCGTTTATTTAAATTAGGTAAACTGCCTCGTCAAATCCTTCTGGCATTCCGAGTCCTTCCATCCGACAGAAAAAGTTTTTCCCGACAACTGGAAAAAATTTTCCGGACAAAGGGAAAAATTTTTCCTTCCGACAGGAAGAACTCTTCCAGTTGTCCGTCCGTAAACCATTCAAATTTTCGAAAATTGAGAACTTTTTGGTCGAACTTCAGAAAAAGTTTTTCCTTCCAACAGAAAAAGTTTTTCCTTCCGACAGAAAAAGTTTTTCCTTCCGACAGAAAAAGTTTTTCCTTCCGACAGAAAAAGTTTTTCCTTCCAACAGGAAAAGTTTTTCCTTCCAACAGGAAAAGTTCTTCCTTCCGACAGGACACAAACGAATGTCCCACGTCCCACCAACCCAGTCCATTCCCAAACCAGAGGAACCTAAAGAACCACAACAGTCTCCTCAGCAACCTCAGTTCCAGCAAGTACCTCCGAATTTCTACCAATTTCCACCTCAAGGTTACTACCCACCACAAGGCTTCCCGAACTACCCTCCTCTGCCTATGCCTTACTTCCCCAACCCTTGGATGTTCCAGCAATTCCAATCTCAATCCAAATCGAAGAGAGACCAAGAGTTCGATGAAGGTCTGAACCGCTTACGCAAAGATTATGCTACAGCTCCAATTGAGAGAAAGTTGTTCCCGGACCAAAAATATAATTTAGGGTAGATGGTTAGATCTAACCTCTTGAATTTGTCAAGACTTCTTCGTAAATGTTTTGTCAAGACTTCATCGTAAATGTTTTGTCAAGACTTCATCGTAATGAGTGTAAATGTTTTGTCAAGACTTCTTCGTAAATGTTTTGTCAAGACTTCTTCGTAAATGTTTTGTCATGACTTCATCGTACATGTTTTGTCAAGACTTCTTCATCGTAATGAGCGTAAATGTTTTGTCAAGACTTCTTCATCGTAATGAGTGTAAATGTTTTGTCAAGACTTCTTCGTAATGAGTGTAAAGGACCCAAAAATAAAGTTTATGTTAGAATGTTAGATCTAACATATTTTCTAACATGTTTTCTAACCTCATGAATTTTCCCGAAATAAAAAATAAAGTTAGTTTTATTTTGTATTTTTTGTATGTAAGATATGATTTCAGGGATTTTTTTGACGAAGTGTCAATGTTCACTTCGTCAAAAAATAACAGTTATCTAATGAAAAAGTGTCATTTTATTTTTTTATTTTGTATGTAAGATATGATTTCAGGGATTTTTTTGACGAAGTGTCAATGTTCACTTCGTCAAAAAATAACAGTTATCTAATGAAAAAGTGTCATGATTTCATCGTAAATGTTTTGTCAAGACTTCTTCGTAAATGTTTTGTCATGACTTCATCGTACATGTTTTGTCAAGACTTCTTCATCGTAATGAGCGTAAATGTTTTGTCAAGACTTCTTCGTAAATGATTTGTCAAGACTTCTTCGTAAATGTTTTTTCACCTGTTTTTTCTAACCTCTTGAATTTTCATGAATTTTCCCGAAATAAAAAATAAAGTTAGTTTTATTTTTTTTATTTTTTTTATTTTGTATAAAAAAATAAAAATGTCAACAATCGGCACAACAACACTTCAAACAACTACAGCACCAAACTCTTTAGTCATGAATCCAACATCTATGTTAGTAGAGATGAAAAGCTTCATTCCTTCTTCATATACTTTCGAAACAAAAATCCAGAAGATAAAGCAAGAACTTTTAACAAGTAATTTAGACTGTAGTGCGAAAGATGAAACAAATGAACAGTATCTTTATGAAATGGAGGACATTATTGACCATTTGCCTAAACTACCTGAAATCCAACAACAAAAACTCACTATTCCTGAATTCGATGAAATAGAAGTGAAACCAACTGACTCAGTAGAAATAAAGAAGTTCATTCGTAAGGTAAACTATGAGTTTCTAGGATTTCATTGCAACCATAAGGTTATGGACAAAGATTGCGACATGGTATATAAGAATGTTTCTGACATATATAAATCTGAAGAATTTAAGACCTACGACAACTTTGTTTCGTTAGTTGCTGAATGTGTATGGCAGATAAGAGATGAAGATAGAAGAGGTAAAGTATGGAACAAACAAATAAGACCCGCTATGTTTGAGATGAAGAGAGCAATTGACGCTTTAGTTGTTTTAGCTGGTAAGGTTTCAGAATATAACGCAAAAATGAACCCGCAATGTTCTAAATGTAAAGCAGCAATGAGGAGATATAACTACTCCGTCAAAGAGATAGAAAGAATGAGAAACGACTATGCTGACTTAAAGAAAGAAGCAGAGAAACCAGCAGAAGATAAAATGGACATGTTGACATTTCTGAACAAAAACTATCCAACAGCAGAAGATTTCCTTCTATCTGACGTCAAGAAGAAATATAAAGAAACTTTCGGCATTGTTAAAACATTCGATGTACTAAAAGAAGAAATAGAAGCTACAAAACTGTTTAAAGTCATGAACCATCGCAACATATACCATGTAAAACGCTTGTAAATAGTTATGTGAGAAAACGTGTTAGAAAACATGTTAGATCTAACATTCTAACATAAAATATATTTTTGGTCATTTACAATGAAGTCTTGACAAAAACTATCCAACAGCAGAAGATTTCCTTCTGTCTGACGTCAAGAAGAAGTATAAAGAAACTTTCGGCATTGTTAAAACATTTACGAAGAAGTTTTGACAAAACATTTACGTTCATGTTTGACAAAACATTTACGTTCATGTTTGACAAAACATTTACGAAGAAGTCTTGACAAAACATTTACGATGAAATCATGAAAATTCACGAGGGTAGAAAACGTGTTAGATCTAACCTTCTACCCTAAAATATATTTTTGCTGAAAAATGACCAAAAATCTGAGTAAAATGGCATATGCTTGCTACCCTCGGAGAACCGAGGGTAGAGATTCCGTACGAAAATCATGAAGAACAGCGAGTACGTAAGAAAACGTAGTCGCCAAAACTCTATGAAAACAGTGAGTTTCCTTAAGATAGAAAAAATAAAGTTAGTTTTATTTTTATTTATTTTTTTATTTTGTATGTAAGAACAGAAATGACAAACATTGAGTTTGAAACAGTTAAAAAGATAGACAATGACACCAAATTGGTTAGAATAGGTGATTTAAACGTAAGATACTCAAAGAAATACAACAAATATTCTTTGTCAGACATTATATCTCCATTTGGAAAGAAACCGAAGGACTGGGTTAGAAATGCTTCAACTCAGAAATTTTTGACAAGAAATCCTGAGCTTATGATATCGGTAGCATTTCATGGAACTGCAGCATATCTCATCGACAAAAGTCTTATACCAATAGTTTTGTTATGGTTAGACCCAGTTGTTGGATATAACTTCATAACATATGGTTCATTCGATACGGAACGTTGCAGTGAAGGCTTACTTTACATCGTTCAGAAACCGAAGGACTTCAATACAAAGAGATATAAGATAGGAAGAACATATAATATAACTCAAAGATATGACAGTACAGTCAATAGAGTCAAGGTTGTGTTTGTTAATGATATGAGAGCTGCAGAAACAGAACTACTTGAAAAGTTTGAGAAAATGTATGGTGCTCCCATAAAAGGTAAAGAAACGTTTGAAGTAGATGAGATAGATAAAGCTATAAAATTATTTGACGAAGTTGCTGAAAAATACATGTAAAGCGTTTATTTTTGGTCTTTTGTGAAAGTCAGAAAATAACGCTAATTTTATTTTTTTATTTTGTATGTAAGATATGATTTCAGGGATTTTTTTGACGAAGTGTCAATGTTCACTTCGTCAAAAAATAACAGTTATCTAATGAAAAAGTGTCATTTTATTTTTTTATTTTGTATGTAAGATATGATTTCAGGGATTTTTTTGACGAAGTGTCAATGTTCACTTCGTCAAAAAATAACAGTTATCTAATGAAAAAGTGTCATTTTATTTTTTTATTTTGTATGTAAGATATGATTTCAGGGATTTTTTTGACGAAGTGTCAATGTTCACTTCGTCAAAAAATAACAGTTATCTAATGAAAAAGTGTCATTTTATTTTTTTATTTTGTATGTAAGATATGATTTCAGGGATTTTTTTGACGAAGTGTCAATGTTCACTTCGTGTCATAATGTAAAAATAACGTTTACCATGTAAAACGCTTGTGAAAAAACAGGTGAAAAAACAGGTGAGATCGCACCTCTTCACCTAAATTATATTTTTGCTGAATTCCGTACGAAAACAGTGAAGAACAGCGAGTACGTAAGAAAACGTAGTCGCCAAAACTCTATGAAAACAGTGAAGCACAGCGAGACCGACTTTTTTCGGGGTCGCCTAAAACTCATGAAAATCATGAATTTCCTTAAGATAGAAAAAATAAAGTTAGTTTTATTTTTATTTATTTTTTTATTTTGTATGTAAAGACAGATATGTCAACATCAGAGAACACAACAACTGCTATCGTTCATGAAGCCATAAATGAAGAATATGAGTACATACAGTATAACAAACAGTTACGTCTCATTCGTTCGGTCAAAGACGATATGTACCAAATGCAAAGTATTTTGACAGCATGTTTTGCTCCAGACACCAAACATACAGACGACTGGTTCAAAAACCAAAGCACACAAGAACTTTTGAGTGAAATTTCTCTAGACCGACTTTTTTCGGTCTTGCATAAAACACATGAAAATCGTAAAAATTTGCCAAATGGTTTGAGAGGTTGGTATGTACATAGACTTCTTGTAAATGCTGTTGCAATGTGGGCTTCGCCTCGTTATGCATGGCATGTTTACAGACTTCTTGACGAAATTCATAGACAAGAACGTGAAGAGATGGAAAAGAAACTTCAAGCAAAAGATGAAGTCATTGAAGCAAAAGATGAAGTCATTGAAGCAAAAGACAAAAACATTCAGAAAAGAATACCACGTTCGGTACCAAAAGGAAAGGAAAAGAACTATAAGTATATGATTTATACTGAAGAGATGGAAAATGAAGAAGATAAAGATATGGTTATGTTGCATTTAGTCAGAAGAAACAACAAAAGCTTTTACGACCTTGCTAAGATTTACAAATCTGACAGAAATTGGTTCTATCGCGAAAACTTACCGATTTCAATGACCCCAAATGAAGATGTGAAACAAATAGTTCAAGATACGTTACCTCAAACACACTATGATATGAAAGGTTGTACAATACTTACCTTCAAAGAAGATTTGCCATTGTTAAAGGAAAAAATAACAGAGTATTTTGACAACTTCAAACAAGTAGAGTAGATGAACCATTTATTTTTCAAGCTTGACTTCAGATGGCTCAGGTAGCTCTATAAAGTAAATTGCCTTGTCAAATCCTTCTGGCATTCCGAGTCCTTCCTTCCGACAGGAAAAAATTTTCATTCCGACAGGAAGAACTCTTCCATCCGACAGGAAAAAATTTTCCTTCCGACAGAAAAAATTTTTCCTTCCGACAGGAAAAAATTTTCCAGTTGTCCGTCCGTAAACCATTCAAATTTTCGAAAATTGAGAACTTTTTGGTCGAACTTCAGAAAAAAATTTTCCATCCGACAGGAAAAATTTTTCCATCCGACAGGAAAAAATTTTCCTTCCAACAGGAAAAGTTCTTCCTTCCGACAGGACACAAACGAATGTCTCACGTCCCTCTTCCTGAATGCCTTCCAAAGCCAGAAGAACCGACAGCCCCAGCACCACAACAGACTTACTAAGACTAAACACTTACATTTTTCAAGCTTGACTTTTTACAATTTGAACTTTGTTTGCGTAGATATGAATTCTGAAAGAAGTATGAGGGTCTTGTATGACTTTGTACTTCTCCCATAGTTCATGTCTGTCAAACTTACCTGCCATGGACTCTTTCATAAGTTCCATGAAATCGTCTTCGGACAATCCGGGGAAAAGTATAATGTCAGTAAGTATTCTTTTAACATCCTTACTTAAACTCTTTGCTGTCTGTACACAAATGACAACTGAGATGTTAAAGTGTCTGAGCTTCTTAAGAATTCGACACATGTCTTGTTCTCTATTCTTTAACAAAGGATGAGAAGCAAAGTCATCTAAGATAAGAAGACATCTATGAGGGTATGTCTTCCAATCGTAAGATTGCAATTTCTTCGAAATGTATTCTATCTCTTTCTGTTTGTTTCTGAAGTGTTTCTTCTCTAATATTCTCTGCATTTCCTCATTTGGGTCTTTAAACTTAGAATTTATATACTCATTTATAGCATTATACTTCAAAACTCTTCTTTGGTACTTCTTTATCCAATCTAACAACTCAGTATCCTTTATACATACTAACTTAGACTTCTTTATAATATCTTTGAACGAATTGACGGTTTGGTCAAATTGACCAGAAGTACTACAAATGACAACTAACTCATAGAATGGGTTCTTCTCATCTAGTTCTTGTTGTTGTGCAGCCATTTTAAGATAAGTGAAAGTCTTACCCGACCCAGGTGGTGCAATTAGACCTGTTATACCATTCTGAGCAAATAAGAATTGTCATGTATAGGTTTTATCTGAGCATTTTCTAACTTCCTCTTGTTCTTGTTTAAAACATTCTCAAATTTCTTGTCAATGTCAGCAAACTTTTTTTCTAACATATTTTTAGAAAAATTAAAATTTTTATCTTTTAGAAAATGTCTAGCGATTTCGCTATCTATATTCGAGACAAGCTTTTCGACAGCAAAACATCTGTCGACCATAAAATCTTACATAGTGTAAACAAGAAAGGGGAATTTGTTCTAAGGTTCTGTTTCTGGGAATATGACAAGAACCATAAAACATTAAGCAGAGAAGTCTTAAAATTTGTCAATGACAGACTTGTTGACAGAGATGACGCCTCTTTGGAGAGATGAAGTCCAACAAAATTTCTTAGAATGCAAAGAAGACACATGCGCCGTTCTTGAAGATGAAATAGAAAACAGAATAGATGAGCTATTAAAGGACAAAGAACTTTTACATAAATATAGTTGCGCCAAATTTGACATAACACCCAGAAAAGAAGAAGAAAGAAAAGAAAGAAAAGAAAGTAGAAGAAGAGAAGAAAGAACCTGAACCAGTTCCAGAGAAAAAGAAATTTGACATGTAAAAATAAATTTTTATTTTTAGAACATTTCTGGGTCAATGTCAATGTTCTCTTCCTCTTTAGGAGTAAACACTGGCTTAGACTCTAAAATCTTTTTACCCAATTTACCTTGAACTTCTACAACTTTAGACTCATAATATTCATAGTCGTCTGCTTTCTTTGGTTCATAAGGTATAACAAGTTTGTATGCTTTGCCTTCTTTTAAGGTTTGAAAACCTTCTGTCAAAACTTTCTTTGACTGCTAACAAACCTTCTATGTCTAAGTCTTCAAATTTCGCACCATTTTTAGTCACAATAGCAAACTTAACTGGTTCGATGTTCCAAACTTTGCTGAATGAAGACTTTTCAAAATGGTAGAAGTAAACATTCAAATATGTGAATGGGTCTAGTTCTTCTTTAAGTCCTGACATGTACTTATTTACTGAGATGAATTTTGCCATCTTTTCTATCGGATAAAAAAATATTTTTTTAAAATTTACTCATAAAAATTTTTCTTTGTATATACACCTTTCTGTACGTCTAAAAGACTTTGCATTTGCCAAGAATGTTCGTTTAGACGCTGTCATATAACCATATTCTTGACAATATTGTTTATACGAATCGTACAATGACCTTTCATCTAAAACTCAAAGTCAGTTTCATCTATGAACAGTTCATATACACTCTTGTTTGCTTCTAACAATGTTTGTCTCTCTTCGGTATGTGGAATTTGTCTTGGATTGAACTTTGAAATATCTAATGTCATAAATGAGAACAAGTGGTTGTAAAAGTCAGATGTCAAAGTTTCTGCTAAGTCGTCAAATATTCTGTATCTTGCATATGAGAATCTGACGTTCTGACAACTACATATCTTTGTCAGAACTTTCTAACTTCATCGGAACAGCATTGTTTGAACCATAATGAAGTTTGCAACATTTTCACAAACTCTTTGGTCTTTATATTTTCTTTCAACAACTCCAACTTTGTCTGTTATAAGACTCTTCAAACATCTGAGTTTAAAACTTTTGTTGTATCTATACTTTGAAGTTCGTTACATACTATAAGTTTCATATTCTCTATTGAGGAGTTAAACTTGCCACAGATGTTTTCTAAGTTTGTCATATTCGGGTTCGAATAACCTTCTACAGTTTGCACAAAATATCTGTAAAGAATGTGTTTCTTACCTGTTCCTTGTTTTCCAATTATAATGAGAGCAGTTTCATTTTAGCACTTGGATGTTGTAAGATGTTTGCAAACCAACATAAGATATACTCATAGACTCTTTCGTTTCCATTGCATATAATTTCTTTGACATGGTCTAACCAAGCTTCTATAATTTTCTTTCCATTCTACTTGTTCGTATTTATATCCAGTGAAGATAGAATAGAAGTTTGGAGAAGGTGTATAGAACTTTATACCTCGAACTGAAAATCTTCTAACTTTGACAATAAGATATCCCAAGCATCTAACATCTTCATGCCAACTTGTACAACTTTTATTTTCTTAAGTTTCTGTCTACATTCTTGTTCTGAAACTATTGTTGCTTTAGGTTTGTTAAAGACTACATCCCATTCTTTCATAACATAACATTCTGGGGCAGAGTCGACATAAATGACTAAACGTTTCAAATTCTCGACTGCTTTGTTATAGTCTCTAAATGGACACATATTTCTGAATGCTTGGAAGTCATAAAAATCTGAAACATCTATTCTGTACATTTTTATAAAATAAAAAATATTTTTTTTATTCTTGACTTTGTTGTTGCATTTGTTGCATTTGTTGTTCTTGAGCTATTTGTTGTTGAAGTTGTTCTTGTAATACAATACTTTCACCAGTTGCATCTTCCAATTCGAAACTTTCTGCCGTCATTGACAAATACATAGGACATAAAAGTTTTACAGGAACAAAGTTTGCGTCAACTAATGTCAACGTTATACTTGCCAAAGTGTTTGAGTTCACTAAGGTTGAAAATTCTGCATTCGAATGAACAATAGGCAAACCAGCAGAGAAAGTATTGTTTATACGCATAAGTATCTTTTGGTCATAATAGTTTCTGTCAACATTCGAATAACACTTTGAACCTAAGTTTGAAACAATATATAAAATAGGTGTACTTAAAGTCAACGGAACAGACATTCCTTGTATGACACCTTTTCCTGTTATAGGAAACTGTTGGTAGTAAAAACCAGAAATAAGTTTTGTATTATAGCTCATATCGTTTATAGTAAACTCAGTCGGATATCCAAACATAATGAAACCTGCTCTAGTTGCAGCACATGTTACACCCGTACTTAAAGTATTAAATAAGTCAACAAAACCTGTTGGTGGTATATCTGAGTAAGTATCTTCAAAGGAGTATTTTTTACCATTCACAACAATAAAGTCTTCTGGTGTCAAAAGAGCAAAACAGGCTTTAGTCGTCATTGTGTTTAAGGTTAGTTTACAATATCGTCCTTGAGGACTTTGTAAGTTTGTTGTTATAGAATTATATGACTCAGGGTTTTTAGTCGTAATAGTATAAACCATTATATCTTCTGCCATTTATATATATTTAAAAGTTTTTCTGAAAGTGGAGAAGAACTTCATCTAAACTTTCACATGGCGTTTCTTGAAGTTCTCTGTCTAAGAAGTTCAAATATTTTGTAAAGACATAGAACTTTCCTTTGTCTACACGAACAAACAAAACAGGGTCTTTCATATCGTTCAAAAGTATGTAAAGTCCTTTACATGAAATAAAGTCTATATTATTTTTCTTCAAACATCTTTCAAGAAGTTTTGACATTTTTACTTAGCAAATAAATTTTAATGAAATGTTGTGGTCGTCAAATATTTTTATGACGTCTGGGAAACTATACTTTAAGTTCAACGTTTCACCTCCTTTCATAACGTATATCTTGTCAATGATATTATATGAAACACCACAGCAACTAATGTCGGGTTCTATTTCTTTGATGTTTATATCGTCTGCCTCTGTCAAAAGTTTCAATAGTTCTTTCAAAACTTCATGAGGTGCAATGACATATGAGTTCACTTTTACAGGGTTGTGTTCGACCAAGTTTAACATTATACCTAAAGCTTGACAAATCTTCTCCTGAGTTTGAAGTTTGTCTTTCAGTTGTTGGTAGTCGTTTCGAATATCTGCAACAGAACTTAAGTCTCTGCTAACTTCAGGATATGTTGGTTGTTCTTTTACAGGAACAATTGTTTACCATCTTCGTCCTCGTATGGTTTCCCCTTCAACATCTCTGTCTTTGACATTGACAATAACACTTTGACTGTTTGTTTGAGTTGGTGAATTTAACTTCACATCTGCCACCGCCATTAAACCTTTTGAAACACTCACGCTTCTATTTTTCGGAAATGACATTTTACTTAGAATAAAAAGATGGACGTATTCGAGTATCTCTTCGAATTGAAGCAGAACAAAGTTTACACACACAAACAATACAAATACATTGACAGAATAGTTCTTTATACAAACAATGGTAAATGTTATAGAATAGCAATATTTACTGAACCAAAATATTTCCATAAAGCAAAGAAAGTTGGTATAACTGAAATGGTGAAAGTTCTTGACGTTGACAAAAATATAACAACAAAACTTACAGATATTTCTAAAGGTAAGTTTATCTTACAATATTA